ATATATATATATGGTACGCCCCCTCCAAAACCCACCTCAGTAGATAAACAAGCCGGCGTAACGCCAACAGCCGCCCATATAAGGCTCGTGTTAGTGCACAGGGCCCAGGAACAGCTTTGTCGGCCAATCTTGNNGGCTTGGGCCCGTGTTAACACGGGCCGTGTCAAGTAACACGGCCCCACGGAACGAAGAACCAAGATTTCCAGAAAGCTTTTTTGGGCCAATCTTGGTTCCCAGGCTTGGGTCGGTGTTAATTAACACGGGCCGTGTTTAACACGGCCCCAAAGAACCAAGAAACAAGATTCCCAGAAAACTCTTTTGGGCCAATCTTGGTTCCCAGGCTTGGGCACGTGTTGAAGACGAGGTGCCTCGCTCCAAAAGTTTTTGGCAATCTTGGTTCTTGGTTCTTGGTTCCATGGGGCCGTGTTACTTAACACGACCCGTGTTAATTAACACGGGCCCACGCCCAAGTGCGGGAACCAAGATGCTGTCCGAAAACTTTTCTGGGCATCTTGGTTCCTGGTTCTTGATTCCAGGGACCGTGTTAATTGACACGGTCCGTGTTAATTAGCACGGGCCCAGGCCTGGGAACCAGGATTCGCCCAAAAACTCTTTCGGGAATCTTGGTTCTTGGTTCCTGGTCCCGTGTATTAACACGGTCCGTTAATTAATACAGGCCCAAGCGTGAGAACCAATTCGCCAGAGCTTTCCGAATCCTGGTCCTGAAGCTCTGTGCTATAGCCCGCCTTGCACCTCCACGGGGACGGGTAGCGCCTACGTTGGGCCAGGTAACACGATCCTTTCAGGACCAGTACCGAAACGTCAATATAACCCGCCTCGCACAGCCAGTAGCACCTTCATCCCTCATTGTGCCAGGTACCCAGACACGACACTTTCAGGACCAGTACCATCTGGTCGATATAGTCCTTCATTAAATTCGTGATCATTGGTTTATGGCCCGTGTTACTGATCACGGGCCTGGGGATTCGTATGGGTTTCAGTCATTGTTTCTATATGTAGTTCTATCATAACATCCAAAATTTGTACTCACAAACAATGTCACTACATAGTCCCAGCAAGCCGTTCGAAAACCCTGCTGCAAATCCTGAACCCTGTTATACCATGTCCGCGAACTCTCAAGCCATGGACCCATACTAGGGGATGTAGTAGCCACTGGTAGGCGTCTTTGTTACCGTACAAGGAGATCTCTGCCGTAAACTTCCAGTTTAGAGTCAGAGCTTTAGGTTGATGGCTTGGGGAAACAACGCTTGTTTAATGATTGGGACCCTAGATTGTTTAGCTATAATTCTCGGTGTACATTGACAGCATTCAGTTTAAGCTTTTCACAGCAGCAGTGGTCAATTTCGGATTTACGGCTAATGTTGCAGTCTAGCTGAGTGCTAAAGTTGTCGTTTGAAATTTCAAAAGAATGGCTATGTGTTGGGGTCGGCTGACGTGCTACCAAAACGATTGTAGGTCTATGACCATAAAGGAACTATGAGATTTTGCCTAACAAGTCCTGTAAACAAAAAGTGGGCAAACTTTGAGGGAGAGGGTTACGATCGTACGGCTTGTGGTTGAGGGGGCGCTCACTGGGCGCCTGTGAAATACAAAGCCTGGAAGTGGAATCTACTGTACTGGTCGGACAACAAATGGCGACAGTATCCCAATATACTTATGTTATCTTATACCCAGGTCTTGTTATTGTCAGTACCAAAAAATTCTATAGCTAGGATTTTTCAGTTTCAAGCATTATCAGTATAGGTAAGTTCGCCAAAATCGGCACCTAGACGAATCTCAAAAAATAAGGAAATGAATTTAAGGCCTGGGTTTTCGAAGATGGTTCCTTTGCAGAGATTTGTGGGGTTATTGGGTGCAAGGGCCCAAATACTTCACATATGTTTTATGGTATATGGTGTTTAGGAGCTACGAGGGAGGGTTTTTGTTGTCACCACATATTCCGACCTCTTTTCAAGGATGTTGCGAGCCTTGGCCATCTTCAAAGCTACGGGGACACTGAAGAAAATTTGTGCCTTGATTTTTTCGTTTTTTTTGCGGGATTTTGGTACAAAGTGTTTAACAATACATAGAGACGATAGGAAAATTAATTACCAAGTATGGAGTCTCTATGCTATGATGCAACCTTGGTGCATTGAAGTATTTCACAGCCAACATGCACAGGGGGTGGCCTGTTGGAACAGCCTATCCCCGACCCTTAACCTCAAACCCATAAGCCGTAAGAAACAACCATGGTCTTGGATAGGTCATGTGGCATCAAAACAACAGAAGGGTTAACACGAGTCGCATCTCAAAACATGCGCGGGAGTGTGGCAGAAACAGGATTTTGAGAGGTAGAAACGGGGATCACGAACAAAATGTGCACAACGTTTTGGCGGGGACACGATTTCCGGAGGCGCAATTATTACCGGTTTGGCTTCTGAGGTGGGTTTTGGAGGGGTAGCATATATATATATATACACACATATATATATACACATATACACATATACATATATACACA